GGTAATAATAAGTTGCCTTGAAGCATGAAAAACAAAGTCCACCCCTGACAGTGACATGATGAGATAACTGATGAGAGCTGATGTTTGATGAGCATACACGAGGGTGGGGGAGGGTGCAGCTGATAAGAAAAGATTAGAGGTGACATTTGATGAGCATCGCCCTCACTTTGTTTTCGCTGGTATACAAACATGTCTGTCTGTCTATTTGTCATCACGTTTACTCACATCTTCAAGCAGAGTATAGCATTTCTGGGTTTTTGGGGTTATCCTAGGTAATTTATTCTATGTATACTTGTAATTATGTGTACCTGTGAGACAGAGACAGAAACGGATAGACAGATAGATAGACAGATACAGATAGACAGATACAGATAGATACAGATAGACAGATACATATAGACAGAGATCAACAGACCCTAAACTTGGGGTTAACATCACTTTCCTCTTAAAAGAGGAGTGTTAATATGACATTGCATCAGTGAATCCTTGGTGTTTGCCGCGCTGTTTGTTCTAGCCTGGGATCAACTTAACTGGCGCTCCCAAATAGTGCTAAGTGGTCCCAGATTTTTTTTAATGTGGTGCACACCGAGTGTTAAGTCCCATTCTATGCTGACCAGGCATCTCAGGCCAATCGTGCCAAATTTGGAGGCAGGAAAATTAAAACCTGTATGTACGTTTGGGGCGCTACGCGTAGGAATGTATATATACGTTTGGATCGTTTAGGGGTTAAGGGTTAAGCAAGTTAAGGCTCTTAAAAAGCAGTGGAGTGTGCTGTTTAGTGCAGGAATTGGTAATCCCACAGCAGCTTTTTGTTGGGTTATTAAAGGTTTAAAGTGATTTACATACAGAAAAGAATGAGAAATCAAGTACAGTGGACCTCCGCCTTACAATTGGCATCGCGTTACATTAAATCCGCCATACGATACATTTTAATACAAAAATTTTGCCTCGCCTCACGCGATTCGTCCGGGACACGTCCCATGTGTGGCCTAAGCTGCCCCGTGCAGGCCAGTGTTTACAAGGCAGCCAGTGCGGTCGCATCCACGCATACATTCGGTACATTTCATATTATCAAGAGATCATATGTGAAAAGGCTAGGAAGTTGCATGACGATTTAATTAGAAAAATGCCTGCAACTAGTGGTGATGTGAGTGAATTTAAGGTCAGCAAAGGTTGGTTTGAGAGATTTAAGAATCATAGTGGCATACATAGTGTGATGAGGCATGGTGAGGCTACCAGTTCAGACCAAAAAGCGGCTGAAAAATATGTGAAGGAATTAGAGGATTACATAGACAGTAAAGAATTGAAACCTGAACAAGTGTTTAATTGCGATGAAACAGGCCTGTTTTGGAAGAAAATGCCAAACAGAACCTACATTACTCAGGAGGAAAAGGCACTCCCAGGACATAAGCCTATGAAAGACAGGCTTACTCTTCTGATGTGTGCTAATGCTAGTGGTGATTGGTGTATGGTGTATGTATGGTGATTGGTGTATCAGTGTGAAACTCCCAGAGCGTTCAGGCAAAACAATGTCGTCAAGGCTAATTTGTGTGTGATGTGGAGGGCAAACAGTAAGGCATGGGTCACTAGGGACCTTTTCTATGACTGGTTACACCATGTATTTGCCCCCACTGTGAAAAATTACCTAATGAAAAATAAATTGGACCTTAAGTGCCTCCTGGTATTAAACTATGCTCCTGGTCATCCTTCAGACTTGGCAGAGCGACTTTCTAGGGACATGAGCTTCATTAAGGTCAAGTTTTTGCCTCCTAATACCACTCCTCTCCTGCAGCCCATGGACCAGCAGGTCATTTTAAACTTCAAGAAACTCTACACAAAAGCTATGTTTCAAAAGTGCTTTGAAGTGACCTCAGACACTCGATTGACTCTCAAAGAGTTTTGGAAAGATCACTGTAGCATCCTCAGTTGTGTAAACCTTATAGGTAAGGCTTGGGAGGGAGTGACTAAGAGGACCTTGAACTCTGCTTGGAAGAAACTGTGGCCACAGTGTGTAGAAGAAAGGGATTTTGAAGGGTTTGGGGCTAACCCTGAGAAGCCTATGCCAGTTATGGAATCCATTGTGGCATTGGGGAAGTCCTTGGGGTTGGAGGTTAGTGGGGAGGGTGTGGAAGAGTTGGTGGAGGAGGACAATGAAGAACTAACCACTGAAGAGCTGCAAGATCATCTTCAACAGCAAGAGGCCACACCTGAGGAAACTTCTTCAGGGGAGGAGAGAGAGAAATTGAGGAAGTTGCCTACTTCAAAGATTAAGGAAATGTGTGCAAAGTGGGCTGAACTGCAAACCTTTGCAGATGAAAATCACCCTGACACAGCTACTGCAAGCCGTGCTGCTGACTATTACAATGACAATGTTATGGCCCATTTTAGGAAAGTCTTAAAGGAACGGGAGGTACAGGCCTCTATGGACAGATGTGTTGTGCGACAGAGGTCCAGTGACTCAAGCTGGTCCTAGTGGCATTAAAAGAAGAAGGGAAGTAACCCCAGAAAAGGACTTGATACCTCAAGTCCTAATGGAAGGAGATTCCCCTTCGAAACAATAACTTCCACACTCCCCTCCTCCCATCCCATCAATCATCACCAGATCTTCAATAAAGGTAAGTGTCATGTTTTGTATTCTTAGTGCATGTCTTCTTAAGTTGGTGTGTATTAAAATTAATATTTCATTGGTAAATTTTTTTTTTTTCATACTTTGTGGTATCTTGCACGGATTAATTTGATTTCCATTATTTCTTATGGGGAAAATTAATTCACCATTCGATAATTTCGTCTTACGATGAGCTCTCATGAATGGATTAATATCATAAGGCGGGGGTCCACTGTATAAAACAATAATAACATCACACTTACCCCTATTGAAGACTCTTGTTGATGTATGGAAGATGGGAGGAGGGGAGTGGGTTAAGAACATAAGGAGGAACACTGCAGCAGGCCTGTTGGCCCATACTAGGCAGGTCCTTCACAAACCATCCTACTAACACAATATTTACCCAACTCAATTTTCAATGCTCCCCAAGCAATAAGCTTTGATAATTCTATTCACTCATGCGCAAGTGTGTGGGGAAGTACCCTGGCTGGTGTGTGGGGAAGTACCCTGGCTGGTGTATGGGGAAGTACCCTGGGTGGTGTGGGGAAGTACCCTATCTGGTGTGTTCTTTCTTGAATTCTATCATGTTTCTCAAGTTCTTTACCAAAGGGCTGGCACTAGGAGCTTACTTTTGGCCCATGGTGGCCTATTTAGCAGTTGCAAGCACAAAAAACAATGGATTATTAATTAATGTATCGTATGAACACATGGGGTGATGGTCACTCGCCCAGAAACAATGCCACACTGACTCTTTGAATGGTTTGTGGGAGCCTTTATGTATGCATGGCCGCTGGGAAGCTGCTCGTACGCGTTCTGGATGACCGATGAATGGTGAGGCAAATTACGAATTGCAAGGCTATATTTTGACGAAAAAAGTTGTGAAAAGGCAAAATTTACAAAGCGCGAGGTTTATGAAACTCGAGGGTCCACCGTATATTAAAATGTACTGCGCCATAACCTGTGCCAATATAGAGTAAGAATTAGGATTATAGTGGAACCCCAGTTTTCGTCTGGTCCGGTTATCTTATAATTCAGTTTTCGACCGCTTTTTCGGCAAAATTTTCCCCATTTTTGTACACCCACTTGGAAATCATCCATACCAGACATGTCCACCTGCCCACGGGATGCGGCCACTCGTATGTTTGTGACTCAGTCTGCCTTTGTTACTCGTAGAGGGTGGTAGAGGATGGTAGTGGTTGTGATGGTGGTAGTGATTGTGGTAGAGGGTGATAGTGATGGTGGTAGAGATAACCTCTCCTCCCTCTCCTCTCCTCGCCATTTTCCATATGCCAACAAGAGTCTTCAATTAAGGTAAAAGTGATTTAAATGTTCATTTATCCATTTCATTAGTGCTTTATATTTATTTCTCATTGTTTTCTGTATGTAAAACTATAGTTATTCTCTATAAAATGTATTTTTTTGTCAATATTTTGGGTGCCTGGAGCAAATTAATTGGATTTACATTACTCTATTTCTTATGGGAAATATTACTTCAGTTTTCGTACAAGTCAGTTTTCACCCGATCTTCTGGAGCGGATTCAAGACGAACGGGGTTCCACTGTAGTCTGCCTGAAATACCTAAGCATGCTAGTGGCTTTCCTTGTAATTAATATTTTATAATATGTAAACTACACATTGTAAGTTTTGAAAGAAAATAAACATTTTCATTTTCAACTTTGTAAAATCATTGTAGCCTTCCAAGATAAAACCATTCTCATTACTAAATTACATTAATTGTAATACTATTGTCTTTTGCTACCTCACTGTTATAAATCTTATCATAAAATTCTTGATTACCTAACTTTTGGAGTAATGTGAATTAATTAGCATTAGAATGTACCACTCCATAACCTGTATCAATATGAAGTAGTCAGTAAGAATTAGGATTAGCCTAGACATGCTTTCTTTGTACTTTATTATTTGTAATTGTAGATGTCACATTGTAAACTTTACAAAGAAATAAAATTTTGAATTTTGAAATAAGTTTTGAGAGGCAGTGGCCTGAGGATTCAGCAGGCATGTTAGAGCATGTTAGAGCAGGGCAAGTGGAAACAAGCAAAGGCAACATTTATGAAGATAATTTTGGAAATACAGGTCAGTCGGATTTAATTTCTGGAGGCGGGAGGTTAAATTTCAGTTCTTTGCAGGAATTTTGATGTCTGTTCTCTTCTTGAAAGTTAGGGAATGAGTGATAGTAAAAGTGTTGTTCATGTTGTAGTCACCATACCTTGTGGAAAATGGCCAGTGTGTTCAAAACAAATGTATAGATTTGCCATCTCTACTGCCATCATCATTTTAAGTGCCATTTTATATGGTTACTTTCTTTTCATAATTTTGTATACTGTACTAAGATTTTCTGCTGCTTGACTTAAAAAAAAAAAAATGCTCATTTCAGGCACATTCTTGGCCATGTGAACTTCCTGTCAGCATCATTCCTGCCTGGTTTCATTTCTAGTCTTATGGCTATAAATGTTGAACGACCAGAACGTAGACCACTTCTGGCCATTTATGTTACTAATGTGGTACAGTATTTATATTGCCTTCTTTAAAACTTATAAAGTATTATTTATTAATATTTTACAGTAGTCTTGAATAACTTGGTGGTTACGTTCCCAGAACCCAGCGTGTTACCTGAAACTGTATTAAGAAAGCCTGGGTTATATTCTTGAGGCTTACTAAAAAAGAAAAAATTAAGTTTTGTAGTTCTTCAAAAATAATTTTTCGTACATTGTAGCTGGATGTAGTCAGGTGCACACTATTAACCCTTAACCTTTTCAGGGTCTGTGCCGTAGATCTACAGCTTTACGTTGAGGGTCCAAACCATAGATCTACGTCACGAGCTCAGCTCACTCTGATATGCTGTGAGCGGTAAATTTGGGCCTAGATATGAGAGAATACATCTATGTGGTATGTGTGCACCACATAAAACAAATCCTGCAGCACACAGTGCATAATGAGAAAAAAACCAAGACCATAATTTTCGATTAAAACAGCGAATTTGCAGTGTTTTTACATATGTTTTTTATAGTTGTATTTGCTATTTCTTGGTCTCATTTGATAGAATGGAAGATAAATTACAGAAATAGAGATGATTTTGATTGGTTTTAGTACTGGAAATGGCTTGAAACTAAGCTCAAAATAGCAGAAATGTTAAATTTTTGCTGATGTTCAAGAGTAAACAAATGACCTCGCACATCTAATACACACCAGCTGATGGGTCTAATATACGTTCACAAATGTGCTGATATTATTTAAACAATTATTACAATATTGCATAAAAGTAAATCTTCTATTATTTGGTTTGAATAAAAATTCATTATGTGAATAAAAAATCAAAATGGAATTCATTTGTAAAGCCTGAAAACATAACTAATGAACAGAGGAAATGTTAGTTTAGTGCCAGGAATGTCTGCATTGCTTATTCTGGACTCTATTTTGAAATTGGAATATTTTGAACTTTGCATTAACCCGTAAAATGTCCAAACCAATTTACATTCACATGCATATTGCTCCAAAAGTAGATCTACATTTTTTACATATTTTCAAATATAACAAAAAAAAAGTAGATAAAAGTTTTTTTAGCACGTTTTCAAATGTAAAAAAAAGAAAAGATCTACTTTTTTTACATACTTACAAATGTTGAAAAAACGTAGATCTACGTTTGGACAGTTTAAGGGTTAAACTGGCCAAATTACCAATTTCCAATCACTTTATTTTGTAGTTGAAACAGTTGACTTGGCAATTTCTTGTGCTCAATCAATAGAATAGAAGTAATACTAGTGAAATAGCTAAGAATTTGGTTGACTGGAATAATGTAATTGACCTAAAATGGGAGTCAAAGTCGGCAAAATCACCGATGCATAAATATCGCTGACACATCAAAATTCGCGAGAGCATAATTTTGTCAATTTTCCATCAAATTTCATACTTTTTGTTTTATTACCTTTTAAAAATTCTTGGACACTGGTGCACACTTTGAAATTTGGCCTCTGGACCCTGAAAGGGTTAAACTGTCCAAACTTAGATTTGCACTCACTCGCATAGCACTTCGAACGTAGATCTGTTTTTTTTTTTTTTTACATCCTTTAAATGGAGAAAATCAAGGTTGGGGCACTGTGTGTGTAAACGTAGATCTACGTTTGGACAGTTCAACCCTTAAACTGTCCAAACGTGGAACTACGTTCACATGCATAGAGCTCCGACTTTTATTTTCTCCATATAAAAGCATTTAAAAAAGAATGTACATCTACGTTAGGAGTGCTACGAACGTAAAAGTAGATCTACGTTTGGACAGTTTAAGGGTTAAGGGTTAATAAAATACAGTAAATTTAACTAAAAGATTACTTGATGAAAATGTTCCTGCCTTGAATTTTGGTTGGTATTTCTGTACTCGTTGATCCTAAAATGTGTAGTGTGTATTGGTATGATCCTTCTGGGCTGAAATAGATGACTGTATTTCTTCTTACAGAGTAACATGTTGCAAGTGAGGTCATGCACCACACTGAAGCATATTAAAATTAACACTTTCTTCATTACCATCAGAGATTCAGTTGTGGCATCTCCAGTATCACTAGTATTCCTCCTAGTTGCCATAATTAATATCCAGTGATGAGAGAGAGTGCACAAAATATCCACAATCATTTGATAAGCATAAAATAATGCATCGGGTGAGATATAAGCAACAATTGGCAGAAAGGTGGGCTGGTGCAAGTATGAGTAGTGGGGGGGTTGAAGAGGGTTGGAATAGTTTTAAAAATGCAGTATTAGAATGTGCGGCAGAAGTTTGTGGTTATAGGAGGGTGGGTGCAGGAGGAATGAGGAGTGATTGGTGGAATGATGAAGTAAAGGGTGTGATAATAGAGAAAAGTTAGCTTATGAGAGGTTTTTAAAAGCAGAAGTGTTATAAGAAGAGTAGAGTATTTCTTTCTGTCAACGCACCAGCCGTATCTCACTGAGGTGGGGTGGCCCAAAAGGACAAACGAAAGTTTCTCCTTTTAAATTTAGTAATATATACAGGAGAAGGGGTTACTAGCACCTTGCTCCCGGCATTTTAGTTGCCTCTTACGACACGCATGGCTTACGTAGGAAGAATTCTGTTTCACTTTCCCATGGAAAAGAGTAGAGTATGTGGAGACTAAAAGAAAGGTGAAGAGAGTGGTGAGAGAGTGCAGAAGGAGAGCAGATGATAGAGTGGGAGAGGCACTGTCAAGAAATTTTAATGAAAATAAGAAAAAAATTTTGGAGCGAGTTAAACAAGTTAAGAAAGCCTAGAGAACGAATGGATTTGTCAGTTAAAAACAGGGTAGGGGAGTTAGTAGATGGGGAGATGGAGGTTTGGGTAGATGGCGAGAATATTTTGAGGAACTTATAAATGTCGATGAAGAAAGGGAAGCGGTAATTTTGTGCACTGGCCAGGGAGGTATAACATCTTTTAGGAGTGAAGAAGATCAGGATGTGAGTGTGGGGGAGGTGCATGACGCATTACGTAGAATGAAAGAGGGTAAAGCAGCTGGAATTGACGGATCATGACAAATGTTAAAAGCAAGGGGGGATATTGTGTTGGAGTGGTTGGTATTTTTGTTTAATAAATGTATGAAAGAGGGGAAGGTACCTAGGGATTGGCAGAGAGCATGTATAGTCCCTTTATATAAAGGGAAAGGGGACAAAAGAGATTGTAAAAATTATAGAGGAATAAGTTTACTGAGTATACCAGGAAAAGTGTACGGTAGGGTTATAATTGAAAGAATTAGAGGTAAGACATAATGTAGGATTGTGAATGAGCAAGGAGCTTTCAGAGTGGGTAGGGGATGTGTAGATCAAGTGTTTACATTGAAGCATGTACAGTGGACCCCCGCATAACGATATTAATCCATTCCTGAGAGCTCATTGTTATGCGAAATTATCGTTATACGAATGAATTTTCCCCATAAGAAATAATGGAAATCAAATTAATCCGTGCAAGACACCCCAAAGGATGAAAAAAAAAATTTTTACCACATGAAATATTAATTTTAATACACACAAACTGAAAAAGGCATGCACAGTTACATGACACTTACCTTTATTGAAGATCTGGTGATGATTGATGGGATGGGAGGAGGAGAGAGTCTTAGTGTTTAGAAGGGGAATCCCCTTCCATTAAGACTTGAGGTGTCAAATCGTTTTCTGGGGTTACTTCCCTTCTTCTTTTAATGCCACTAGGACCAGCTTCAGAGTCACTGGACTTCTGTCGCACAACATATCTGTCCATAGTGGCCTGTACCTCTCGTTCCTTTATGACTTTCCTAAAGTGTTTCTCAACAGTGTCAGTGTAATAGTCACCAGCACAGCTTGCAATAGCTGTGTTAGGGTGATTGTCATCAAAAAAGGTTTGCACTTTAAGCCACATTCCACACATTTCCTTAATCTTTGAAGTAGGCAACTTCTTCAATTTCTCTCTCCCCTCCTCCGAACCAGTTTCCTCAGGTCTGGCCTCTTGCTGTTGAAGTTGATCTAACAGCTCATCAGTGGTTAGTTCTTCATTGTCCTCCTCCACCAACTCTTCCACATCATCCCCACTAACCTCCAACCCCAAGGACTTTCCCAATGCCACAGTGGATTCCTCAACTGGCATAGGATTCCCAGGGTTAGCCTCAAACCCTTCAAAATCCCTTTGGTCTACACATTCTGGCCACAGTTTCTTCCAAGCAGAGTTCAAGGTCCTCTTAGTCACTCCCTCCCAAGCCTTACCTATAAGGTTTACACAATTGAGGATAATAAAGTGATCTCTCCAAAACTCTCTTAGAGTCAATTGAGTTTCTGAGGTCACTACAAAGCACCTTTCAAACAGAGCTTTTGTGTACAGTTTTTTGAAGTTTGCAATAACCTGCTGGTCCATGGGCTGCAGGAGAGGAGTGGTATTAGGAGGCAAAAACTTCTCCTTAATGAAGCTCATGTCCCCATAAAGTCGCTCTGCCACGTCTGTAGGATGACCAGGGGCATTGTCTAACACCAGGAGGCACTTAAGGTCTAATTTCTTTTCAGTTAGGTAATCTTTCACATTGGGGGCAAATGCTTGGTGTAACCAGTCACAGAAAAAGTCCCTAGTGACCCATGCCTTACTGTTTGCCCTCCACAGCACACACAAATTAGCCTTGAGGATATTCTTTTGCCTGAACGCTCTGGGAGTTTCTGAGTGATACACTAATGAAGGCTTCACTTTGCAATCACCACTAGCATTGGAACACATCAACAGAGTAAGCCTGTCTTTCATAGGCTTATGTCCTGGGAGTGCCTTTTCCTCCTGAGTAATGTAGGTCCTGCTTGGCATTTTCTTCCAAAACAGGCCTGTTTCATCACAATTAAACACTTGTTCAGGTTTCAGTCCTTCACTGTCTATGTACTCATTGAATTTATGCACATATTTTTCAGCTGCTTTGTGGTCCGAACTGGCAGCCTCACCATGCCTTATCACACTATGTATGCCACTACGCTTCTTAAATCTTTCAAACCAACCTTTGCTGGCCTTAAATTCACTCTCATCATCACTAGTTGCAGGCATTTTTTTAATTAAATCCTCATGCAACTTCCTAGCCTTTTCACTTATGATCACTTGAGAGATGCTACCTCCTGCTATCTGTTTTTCATTTATCCATACCAATAAGAGTCTCTCAACATCTTCCATCACTTGCGATCTCTGTTTCAAAGACACAGTTGAACCTTTGGCAAGAACAGCTTCCTTGATTGCCGTTTTGTTGGACACAATAGTAGCGATGGTTGATTGGGGTTTACTATACAACCTGGCCAGCTCGGAGACACGCACTCCACTTTCATACTTAGCAGTGATCTCTTTCTTCATCTCTATAGTAATTCTCACCCTTATTCCTGTAGGGTTGGCACTAGAAGCTTTCTTGGGGCCCATGGTCACTTATTTTGCAGATAAATCACCAAAAACACTGTAATAATACGAAATGTTCCGATTGTATGCTTGGATGTTACCGCGGAGGCTGGCTGGTAAACAATGCCACCGGCGGAACATGTGAGACTGGCTCATGCCGCACATTAGACGCGTCTCGGACGAATAGCGTTGAGCGGGTTTTTTAGCCGTATGCGAGGCAAAATCTTAGCGATAAAATGTATCGGTATGCGGATTTAACGTTATGTGATGCCAACGGTATGCGGGGGTCCACTTTAGGTGAACAGTATTTAGATAAAGGTAGGGAAGTTTTTATTGCATTTATGGATTTAGAAAAGGCTGTCAGTGCTGACGGCCCCATTCAGGGCAGGAGAATATCGGAGCTGGAACAAATATAGAGATCGTTTACGGCTCACATTGAGCCAGTAAAGCACCTGAACTACTGGGACCGCCTGCAAGTCTTGAACATGTACTCATTGGTGCGGAGGAGAGAGAGGTACATGATAATATGTACCTGGAAGGTGCTTGAGGGTTTGGTCCCAAATCTGCACACTTCCATAACAACATACTGGAGTGAGAGATATGGGAGGAAGTGTAAAATAAACCCAGTGAGGAGCAGGGGTGCGGTGTGGACAATAAGGGAACACTGTATCAACATCCGGGGTCCCAGACTTTTCAACATCTTACCTGAAGATATCAGAAACACTGCTGGAACAAGTGTTCAAGCCTTCAAGAGGAAACTAGACAAGTATCTTCACCAGGTGCCAGATCAACCAGGCTGTGATGGATATGTGGGGCAGCAGGCCTCCAGCAGCAACAACCTGGTTGACCAGGCGAGCACCAGACGAGCCTGACCCATGGCCGGGCTCAGAGAGTAGATATACTCTCGAAATTCTTCAAAGGTATACCAAAAGTAAGGTAAGGAGTGGATAGGGGAGCAATTGGCAGATGTTGCAAGTGTATGGATTAGGTGGTAAGTTACTAAATTCTGTAAAGAGTTTTTATGAGGATAGTGAGGCTCAAGTCAGGGTGTGTAGAAGAGAGGGAGACTACTTCTCAGTAAAAGTAGGTCTTAGACAGGGATGTGTAATGTCACCATAGTTATTTAATACAGTTGACCCTCAACCAACGATATTAATCCATTCCTGAGAGCTCATCGTTAGTCGAAATTATCGTTAGTCGAGTCAGTTTTCCCCATAAGAAATAATGGAAATCAAATTAATCCATTCCTGACACCCCAAAATATTGAAAAAAAAAAAATTTACCACATGAAATATTAATTTTAATACACACAAACTGAAGAAGACATGTACAATTATATGACACTTACTTTATTGAAGATCTGGTGATGATTGATGGGATGGGTGGAGGGGAGAGTGTGGATGGTGTTAGTGTTTAGAAGGGGAATCCCCTTCCATTAGGACTTGAGATAGCAAGTCCTTTTCCGGGGTTACTTCCCTTCTTCTTTTAATGCCACTAGGACCAGCTTGAGAGTCACTGGACCTCTGTCGCACAACATATCTGTCCATAGAGCTCTGTACCTCCCGTTCCTTTAAGATTTGTCTAAAATGGGCCATAACATTGTCATTGTAATAGTCACCAGCACGGCTTGCAATAGCTGTGTTAGGGTGATTTTCATCCATAAAGGTTTGCAGTTCAACCCACTTTGCACACTATTTCCTTAATCTTTGAAGTAGGCACAATGGATTCCACAACTGGCATAGGTATCTCAGGGTTAGCCCCAAACCCTTCAAAATCTTTCTTAATTTCCATACTAATTCTCACCCTTTTTGTCACAGGGTTGGCAATAGAAGCTTTCTTGGGGCTCATGGTGACTTTGCAGGTGCAATCACTAAAAACGCTGTGATAATATGAAATGTTCCGATTGTATGTTTGGATGCGGCCGCGGTGGCTGGCTTGTAAACACTGGCACCCACGGGACAAGTGAGGCGCGCTCAGGCCACACGTAGACTCGTCTCGAGCGGCACGAATTGCGTTGGTCGAGTTTTTTAGCGCTAGTCAAGGCAAAATTTTTTGCGTTAAAATGTATCGCTAGTCAGATTTAACCTTATACGATGCCTTCGTTGGTCGAGGGTCCACTCTATATTTATAGATGGGGTTGTAAAAGAAGTAAATGCTAGGGTGTTTGGGAGAGGGGTGGGATTAAATTATGGGGAATCAAATACAAAATGGGAATTGACACAGTTGCTTTTTGCTGATGATACTGTGCTCATGGGAGATTCTAAAGAAAAATCACAAAGGTTAGTGGATGAGTTTGGGAGTGTGTGTAAAGGTAGGAAGTTGAAAGTGAAAAAGAAAAGAGTAAGGTGATGAGGGTCTCAAATGATTTAGATAAAGAAAAATTGGATATCAAATTGGGGAGGAGTAGTATGGAAGAAGTGAATCTTTTCAGATACTTGGGAGTTGACGTATCGGTGGATGGATTTATGAAGGATGAGGTTAATAATAGAATTTATGAGGGGAAAAAGGTGAGTGGTGCGTTGAGGTATATGTGGAGACAAAAAAACGTTATCTATGGAGGCAAAGAAGGTAATGTATGAAAGTATAGTAGTACCAACACTCTTATATGGGTGTGAAGCTTGGGTTGTGAATGCAGCAGCGAGGAGGTGGTTGGAGGCAGTGGATATGTCCTGTCTAAGGGCAATGTGTGGTGTAAATATTATGCAGAAAATTCGGAGTGTGGAAATTAGGAGAAGGTGTGGAGTTAATAAAAGTATTAGTCAGAGGGCTGAAGAGGGATCGTTGAGGTGGTTTGGTCATTTAAAGAGAATGGATCAAAGTAGAATGAAATGGAGAGCATATAAATCTGTAGGGGAAGGAAGGCGGGGTAGGGATTGTCCTCGAGAAGGTTGGAGGGAGGGGGTAAAGGAGGTTTTGTGGGCGTGGGGCTTGGACTTCCAGCAAGCGTGCATGAGCGTGTTAGATAGGAGTGAATGGAGACGAATGGTATTTGGGACCTGACGATCTGTTGGAGTGTGAGCAGGGTAATATTTAGTGAAGGGATTCAGGGAAACCGGTTATTTTTATATAACCGGACTTGAGTCCTGGAAATGGGAAGTACAGTGCCTGCACTCTAAAGGAGGGGTTTGGAATATTAGCAGTTTGGAGGGATATGTTGTGTATTTTTATACGTACATATATGCTTCTAAGGTGTTGTGTTCTGAGCACCTCTGCAAAAACAGTGATTATGTGTGAGTGAGGTGAAAGTGTTGAATGTTGATGAAAGTATTTTCTTTTTGGGGATTTTCTTTCTCTTTTGGGTCACCCTGCTTCGGTGGGAGACGGCCGACTTGTTGAAAAAAAAAAAATTGATTAAGATATTAGATGCAGACACATGGCAGCTGGCTGCCAGGAAGGTTTACATCAGTGGTAAGACTAGGCTTTCCTTTTCCCTGAAAATAATGGCCTCTCCTGTATGCTAACTACAGCACAGAGTGGAAATGTCCCACGACGTGTTTGTACAGAATTCGGTTGCAAAATGGACAGATGCATGTGTTGCCCTAAATCTATGGCATGCTTTACTGGTCTTCCTCCCATGCAACTCCTTGAACTTGGTTAGAATGTGTTAACCATGTTTTATTGAAAACATGTTACTGGGATGTGCATTACTAGGGACATGGCCTTGTGTCTTAACAGCCTACACATTAAGATGTATATATTTTTTATTTCCTTGGAAATACAATACATCTTCTGGCACTGATATTATGAAGCACCTCTTTTTATTCTTACATGTAGTCATTTTTAGGGATAATTGCTCCTTATATTTAATGGTCAATTTACTGTTAGAACCATTTGTAATTTTTGTATTGTTCTTGGATCATTTACATATAGCCAGGTAATTACCTTTATCTAGGTAATTTATAAGAGGCATATTGTGCCCCTCTTTCAGTGTGGTAAAAGATGTATTAAACTCATTAGTAAAAGTGTATTTACAATTAAGATTTCAAGAATGTGATTTATTCAAACTACATTTTGCTTGCAGGCATCAGAATGTTTATGGAATACTGCAGTGGGATACGGCTATGTCAAGCCCATACCTCGGGGTGAAATTTTGGTATTTGCTGGGTCCATGGCAGTTTTAGGATATAATTTCCGTTCCTCAAAGCCTCTCAGCAGACTAATCAACTCCCTTCTTCAGTAAGTTTATTAAAACTTTTTTAGTTTCCATAGTAGATATAAATGATTGGTGGAATGATAAGGTAAAGAGAGTGGTAAGGGAAGAATGGTTAATATTAGAGGTTTTGTACAATATGAATATGATATTCTGAAGGCTGAGTTCATGGAGAAAAAAGTCAGAGGTTAAATAAGGGAAGGGAGGCTTGCAAAAAAAGAGCCAGTGAGAGAATAGGTGAGTTTATCAGCAAATTTTGCTGAGCATAAGAAAATCTTGAAGAGATTACTAAGTTAAACAAAAATTTGGGAACAGATAGATTTGGCAGTTGAAAACAAGTATGAATATTTTAGATGGGGGCAGTGGAAATACTGGAAAGGTGAAAGAATATTTTGAGTGTTAAATGACGATGATGAGAGGCAGTGATTTCATGCATCAGGCAAGGAGGAATAACGTCTTGTAGAAGTAAGGAAGAGCCAGATATGAATGTAGGAAAAGTGCCCTAGACAGTGTAGAATGAAAGGAGGTAAAGCAGCTGAAACAGAAGGGATTAATGCACAGTTGTTAACAGCAGTTGTTGGTGTATTTAATATATTCATGAAAATAGTGAAGGCTTCTGAGGGAAAAGGGGACAAGAGTAAATGTAAGAATCAAAATTTTGAAATGTAAACACACATTGTAACCTTAGCAAAGAAATAAAATTTTATATTTATATGTGAGTGAGGTGAAAGTGTTGAATGATGATGAAAGTATTTTCTTTTTGGGGATTTTCTTTCTTTTTTGGGTCACCCTGCCTCGGTGGGAGACGGACGACTTGTTGGAAAAAAAAAAAATCCCAGACAATAGTAAATGACCAAGGCAGGTGTAAATGTTCACGTGTCGGTGTGTTTGTGACAATTTGAGTACAATTTCAGTACCTAATACATGTATTAGTGTCAGAACAAAGACTGGCTATGAAATCACAAGAACTACTATAAATTGTAATTATCAGAACATAAAAATTATATAAAATAATAAAAAACGAGAAAAAAAAGTATATCGGCAACACTTCTACAAGCGGCAGGACTCAATGTTGCCGTCAGGCGAGCAGCCAGCGCCAGCTTCGTGGTCTCATAGCTTGGTAAGTACTGGTCCTAAATTTTTTTTTGTCTTATTACACATAGAAATTTGTCCTGGGCGAGTGAGCATAGTTCTACGTTTGGACAGTTAATGGGTTAAACAGTTGAGGGCAAGGCAGAAAGTAGAGTTGAAGAACAAGTAGAGTTAGGAAAGGAAACAGATATCTGTGCTAAATGTTTATATTGACGCTACATGTGAACAGTGCTTAATTAACCCTTTGAGGGTGCAAGCCATAGATCTACCCCTTGTCCAAATTTTTTCAGAAGTTCAACCTTATCTCTCATGGTTAATGTATGGTGTTTGCACTTTACACAATGAGAAACATTTCCTTTATTTGTTGGAACCAAGGCTAGGGCTAAAAGTGAGAAGGTTTTAGCAATAAATGGAGAGAGAAACAAATTGAAATGACTTGTGCTGTAAGTAGCACCACCAAACGGTAGCAGCAGGTTGGTGCGGTGACTGCCAGAAATTTTAACCCTTTCATGCTTGCTTTCCATTTTGTTTATTATTATAATCAAGGGGGAGTGCTAAACCCATAGGATTATGCAGCACCTATGGGGGGGATGTAGAAGGTATTGAGGCTTAATTCAGAGAACCGAGGCACAGATTCAATTCCCTAGATCAAGAGCCCCTCACCAACATCAAGGAACCTTCCTTGAGGGCTTTCCATTTTGAGTTTCTATTCACACAAAAAATAGAAGATTTACTGTTATGCAGACTACTGAATTACGTATTGTAAAAAATGGTATAAATAATATTAGCGCATTTGTGAAAGCATGTTAAACCCACCAGTTGATGTGTATTGGATGTGGAACATAATTTGTTTACATTGAACATCAGCAGAAATTTAACATTTCTGCTACTTTGATCTCATTTTCAAGTTACAGTGTACAGTACTTTCCATTGTGAAACTAATCAAAATCATATCTATTATGTAAGAAACACGTTATGTAGCATATATACAAGATACACGTGCACCCACAGTATGATAAATTTCACATAAGGTGTGGTAGCCGGGTGGAGGGAAAAAATTAGGTTTCTCTGGTCCAGCACCAGAGAAAATGTGTATCGATCTGACTTTGACCCAGTCACTCCCCTTATCGTATTCGGCTTTGTTTATAATTCTCGGCTTGACTTCTCATCAATTCTCCCTTCATTTATGATGGCATCTAAAGGTAGTTCTTAGAAATTATTAAACTCAGTGAACAAGGTACGTATATGTCAATGAGGTGCTTTAAATATCATACGGCTATGTAGCCTGCCTGGGCTACATAGTTACGCTTGCCAGGGCTACATAGTTACGCTTGCCAGCTACCTGCCCCTGACTTCCTACAAATAAATACTACTTGCCTCTCATCCAGCACTAAGACTACACATATTTTAAGGTAAGTAATGAATGTACTGTTGCAGTTTTTTTTTTTTTCATTATGCACTGCATGCAGCAGGATTTTTTTTTATACAGTGCACACTTACTACACAGACCTATTCTGTCATATGTAGGCCCAAATTTACCGGTCAGCCCAAATTTACCGGTCACAGCTTATGTGAGTAAGCTGAGCTCATGGTGACCTCCAATGGCTTCAAAGCCACCTTTTCTTTTATGGACAATGTACGGTGTATGTGCTTTCCACAACAAGAAGCATTTCTTTTATTCATTGGAACCTTAGCTAGGGCTAAAAGTGAACAGGTTATAACAGTAAATGGAAAAAAAGAAATTGGAATGACTTATGCAGCAAGTAGCATCACCAAACGGTAGTGGCAGGTTGGTGGGCGACTCCAAAAATTTTAAATTGTGCTAGCTGAAATTAGTGCCGGATTACTGATTGATGGAGTAGTGATGGCCAACCTGTAATCACTGTGTAATGCATGTAGGTCTGATGATGACAAGTGTGAACCCTTTCACTATCGGTGCCATAGTACTACGGCTTGCAAGCCAGTGTTGGTGCCGTAATATTATGTCAAAATTCTAGTGGTTTCAGATCTAGCGGGAGAAAGCTGGTAGACCTATATGTGAGAGAATGGGTCTGTGTGATCAGTGTGCACAGTATGTATAATAAAAATCCTGCAGCACGCAGTACATAATCAGAGAAAAAAACTACTACCGTGTTTTTGGTTTAAAACGCCGACTTTGAGGTGTACATTGTAACCTCTGCTTATGAGCGCATCCACATGCGAGTTTTTCCAGATACGAACAGCTGCTCGGTCACTTTTTTGCTTCCAGACGCAAGCAAAATTTCCAGATGCGAGCGGGCCTCAAGGGAGGTTAATTGACACTGGTGAGGGGGCTCTTGCTCTTGATCTAGGGAATTGGATCTCAGTTGTTTGTTGGACTATCTTATTGAAACTTGGGCAATGTATGATGAAAAGAAGCTTATTAACCCTTAGTATTTAGTCATTTAGTATTTAGTCAACTTACTCCACAATTTGTAATAATTTAGGGTTAAGAATTAATCTAAGAGTGGCTATGCATGGTGTGGCCCTACTGGGCCGAGGTGGGTGGTTGTTGGTTGTCGGCAGAAGTGGATGGTTGAGGTTCTGGTACTAAAGTCGGTGGTTGTATTGGATTGTGCATAAATTCTGTAATGCATCTCTGGCTTCTTTTACCCTGCAGTACATTACAGTAGGACCCCACTTATGTGGCAGGTTAGGTTCCACGCTACTGCCGGAAAGCAGATATCACTGGAAAGCATAATGCCATTTTTTCCACTTATAAATGCATGTAAATGCCAGATAACAAGTATACACTAACATATATTAAGTTAGCAATAGACCAAGGCATTAAAAAACATTAAAAAGTAAAATACACACACAGTACACTCATTATTTACCTGAAAATAATGTAGGGCAAAAGGTGAGTAGTATTTACTGTAAGAAGTCAGGTGTGGTAGCCCTCCTGGCCACCCCACCCACACTTAACCCTTTGAGGGCCCGTGCCGTAGATCTACGGCTTTACGTTGAGGGTCCAAACCGTAGATCTATGTCATGAGCTCAGCTCACTCTGATAAGCTGTGAGCAGTAAATTTTGGCCTAGATATGAGAGAATGCATCTATGTGGTATGTGTGCACCACATAAAACAAATCCTGCAGCACATAGTGCATAATGAGAGAAAAAAAACTGAGACTGTAATTTTCGATTAAAACAGTGACTTTGCAGTGTTTTTTCGTATGTTTTTTATAGTTGTATTTGTGATTTCTTGGTCTCATTTGATAGAATGGAACATATATTACAGAAATAGAGATGATTTTGATTGGTTTTAGTACTGGAAATGGCTTGAAACTGAGCTCAAAGTAGCGGAAGTGTTAAATTTTTGCCGATGTTCAAGAGTAAACAAATGACCTCACACGTCTAATACACGTCTGCTGGTGGGTCTAATATACGTTCACAAATGTGCTGATATTATTTATACAATTATTACAATATTGCATAACTGTAAATCTTCTATTTTTTGGTTTGAATAAAAATTCATTATATGAATAAAAAATCAAAATGGAATTCATTAGTAAAGCCTGTAAACGTAACTAATGAACAGAGGGTATGTTAGTTTAGTGCCAGGAATGAGTGCATTGTTTATTCTGGACTCTATTTTGAAAATGGAGTATTTTGAACTTTGCATTAACCCCTTCAGGGTCCAAGGCCAAAATCTGAAGTGGTGCTCCAGTGTCCAAGAAATTTTGAAAAAAAAAAAATTATTTTTTTCTTACAGAATTAAAGAGCATATTTTTGTGAAGGTAATAAGACAAAAAAAAAAAATTCTGATCAGTACTTACCGAGATACAGTGCCAAGAAGTTTGTCCAAAATGATGTGGTGGCGGCAACATCGACGAATTCCACATACGCGCATTACATTATTTAGCGGTTTTTATAGTTTTTTCTTTTCTTTTCCAATTTTTTTCTTTTCCTACTAAC